TGGATGATGCGCAAGGACTGGCGGAACTCCTCCATACGGCAAAGGTAACGGTCGTAGCAGTCACCGTTGACACCAACGGGAACGTCGAACTCAACCTGATCGTAGGCATCGTAGGGCTGCGACTTGCGGATATCCCAGGGAACACCAGAACCACGGAGCATGACACCAGTAAAACTCATGTTAAGGGCGTCAGCTGCTGTGACAACACCAACACCCTGAGTTCTGGCCTTCCAGATACGGTTATCTGTAAGCAGCTCCTCAGTCTCGTCAATGCGGTCGCCGAACTGGGTGGCCCATTGGTAGATATCGTCGAGAAGGCCAAGGGGAAGGTCCTGCGATACACCACCAGGGCGGACATATGCAGCGTGTAGACGGGCACCGGAGACACGCTCGTAGAACTCCTATTGAAGATGAAAGGTCAATGCATTGCTCCCCAACCATACGTGATGAAGGGAAAAGATGCCGCCTACCATGAGCTTCTCACGCTCCTCGAAACCCCACAAGAAAGGTGTCAAAGCACCAACGTCCATGGCGTGGGAAAGAACCGACATGAGGTGGTTCAGGATACGCGTAATCTCGCCGAACAGAGTCCGGATCCACTTGGCTCTCTCGGGAATGTCGATGTTAAGTAGCTTCTCAACAGCCAGCGAGAAGCACTGCTCATTTGTCATCATAGAGACATAGTCAAGACGATCGAAGTAGGGCAGAGCCTGCATGTAGGTCTTGTACTCGATCAACTTCTCGGTACCACGGTGCAGCAGACCGACATGGGGATCTGAGCGGACAATTTCTTCGCCATTGAGTTCCAGAATCAATCGAAGCACACCGTGAGCGGCAGGATGCTGGGGACCGAAGTTGACAGTGTAGTGACGGATCTTGCGGTCGACCCCTTCCGCCTGCGACTCAAGATTCGAGGCGGCCTCGGACTCTGCGGTAGCCTTGTTGGCCAGATGTGTGAACGTCGGATCCGTCGGGACGAGTCTGGTAGCCTGGTAGCTGGTAGGCTCCGCGTACCGACGGGGAAGGGTCGTCGATATCGAACGGGTGTTTCTGGCGAAGGTAGAGGGGCGAAGACAGAGCTTCTTGGGCGCACTGCCCGCCAGACGGGCGAAAGAGGCAGCCATTCGGGATATCGCAAGGAAGGATGAGGGATTAAACTGGCCGACTGTCCTCAGTCCGGACGTAGTGAAGGAGGCACTCTTACAGGACGGTCGATGCGAACTGACGATTGGAGGTTGCGGGACAAATTGGGTAATCACGTGGTAAGTGCTTCGGGTCATCACGCCGCCTCTGGTTGGTCTTCCAATGGTGTCTAAAGTGCACCCGCACTAAACCTGTATTGGTGGATACAGTTCTGGTTTCTGCTCCAGACGGACCAGCAGCACTTTGGCCCTCAGGATTGTCTCTACAATGGGTGCGGTTTAAGTGGGAGGACATGACCGCCTTATACCTGCAGAAAATACTGCCGCTTGTCCCAAAGAAATTATCATCCGCTCATTTCTCGATTTAACCTTCAGTCCTCAGCAGTCAATCTACCCTCGTATTGTCGGCCATCATGGCGCCTCTTATCCCATCGCAGGAGGAGCTTGATCGCAGAAGGGTACTTTACTATCTAGCTTAACGTCTGTGAATATCCTCGTCGCTAACCAGCTCTTAGATCGTTGGTATCAATCCAGAGACGGTCACCAATATCCCCTCCACAGATTTTCCCGGTCACTGGCCCGGCGAGTCGCATGAATGGAATTTGGAAAAATTCAGAGATGTGCGTTCTTCTTGGGCACTTTCTATACAGTAGCTCTCATCGTGTATCGCGATGGTGAAAAGTTTCTCAAGCTCACACCTCCTGTTCATAGGGCTTCCGAGTCGAGTTTCATCGCAATGACCCATTCGAATCCTCCTTCTCCTTGATTGGACTTGATGCCTCCATCGCAAATGCTTTCCGTCGAATTTTGATGGCTGAAGTACCAACCCTGGCCATCGAGTACGTTTTCGTTCACAACAACACTTCCGTTATACAGGACGAAGTTCTCGCTTCGCGATTGGGTCTGATCCCTTTGAAAGGCTCAGTAGAGGGTCTCAACTGGATGCGCTGGTTTAAGAAGCCCACAGAGGACGATCCTGAATCTGGCAGCACCCCCGCCGACTACAACACCATCGTGCTACGCTTGGATGTTGAGTGTACTGAGAACCCCAACGCAGCTCCGGGCGAGGACGACCCTCGCAAACTTTACAAGAATGCGCATGTTTATGCTAAGGATATCACCTTCCACCCAGTTGGACGTCAGGAACAGTTCTTCACCGGCGACGGTGCAATTCAGCCCGTCAATCCTGATATTCTGATCGCAAAGCTACGCCCAGGACAGAAGATCGATATGGAGTTGCACTGCATCAAAGGGATCGGAGCTGATCACGCCAAGTTCTCGCCCGTGGCTACCGCAACATACCGCCTCATGCCAGACATCAAGATTCTCCGCCCTATCATCGGTGAAGACGCCAAGAAATTCGCCAAATGCTTCCCCAAGGGAGTTATTGAGCTCGAGCCGGTTACGTCGAGGGAAGCCGCGCAGAAAGGAAGCGAATATGAGGGTCGTGCAGGCGAGATGAAGGCCGTGGTCCGTGACCCCTTCAAGGATACCGTCAGCAGAGAGTGCCTGCGACACGAAGAATTCCAGGGCAAGGTGAAGCTGGGCCGCATTCGTGATCACTTCATTTTCAACGTTGAGAGCACTGGCCAGTTTGAAAGTGATTATCTTTTCCTCGAAAGTGTGAAGGTGCTCAAGTTGAAATGCGCGAGATGGAAGCGAGGCTTGACGGATCTCATGCGGTAATGACATTCGTGCGGCTGTCCCAACAATTTTCGAAGTATATAATGCATTAGCCGGCGTTGGTTTTCGTTATCTCTGTGCTTGTTGTACATCTACGAAAAAGTTGGTCAAAACCTCCTTTACGACGTCAGGAGTCTGCGTGGGGATCTTCTTCAGATAATAGAAAATGCAGCTATTATTTCTTCAAGTCGCTGTGTGTCTTTCTGGCAATGTACTCAATAGCATATCGTCGTAACGAAACCGTGTCCCATTCAGGCTTGCAAGCTGGAGCCACGTCGCTTCATTTGAAGATCAATTGGAAGCGGAAGTCAATAGTGTATGCGGGGTCGCTGACCGCAATTTCCTGGCCATTTTCAACCAGTTCCTTCAGCTTTAGCTTCAGGTTGCTCCTGGTCTGCTCCTCGAGCTGAGGCGGGAAACGCTGGTAGAGTGTCTTTTCTTCCGTTCTCATACTCGGCTTCTTGAGCTGGGCCTCGGCTCGCTCACCAAGACTCTCTATGAATTCCTCCAGCGTCATGTTCGGGTCTACAGTAATTTTTCGGGCCAGATTGCCGCAAACTGGGCAATCTGGTTTCTTTTCCGCTTCAAATGTGTAAGTGTAGACTCCCTCTTCACCAGCGTACATCATATAGTTCTCCAGGTAAGGGTTGCAGGAGGTAGCGATTTTCAGTGCTTCTGACGTGGTTGCGGCTGCGATGACGGCGTTTGTCGAAGCAATAGCGGGAATGATATTCTTAACCACGCCTTGGGTCATTTGAAAAGTTACGCCGTGGATGTGGAACTGGTTTGCCCTTTCAAGGGCGGCGTTATAAACCCAGCTGATATGTTCCATGTCATCGCTGTCAAAGGCATCATCCTTGCGCTTCTCTTGCCAGGCGATTTGGTGAGCCCACTCAATGCAATGCTGAGGCTGTCTGGGGATAGTTGCAATGGTGCAAAGGGGGACAGCAGGTCGAGGAGCATGCATATCTAGCTGGCATTCAATGCATGAAGACAGCGTTGGAAGAATTACACGGGCCTGGCCCTTGAAACCTACCTAGGATTAGCATAACTCTGTGGCCAACGATATCGATGGTGTCGGACGGCTTTACCTTCTGTTCCCCCGTCAATGAGAGGCTTGAGACTCTCAGGGTTCTCCGGATCAACCATCCCGATAAGAGTGGAATTGATCCACCGTCTGGCCTCTATACTATCCAAACCACAAACAATGATCTTGAACTGCATGTAGTAATCCTCGTCCTTGTCCTGAATCTTGCCGACATATGGCGTGATCTTGACACCTTTGACTCGCTTCTCTACGAATGATGCAGCAACCTCTGCCTTAGGCTTACCGATGTCAGTTTGCCGGAACAGGAACTGCCGGTTCAGGTTGGAAATGTCAATAGTATCTTTTGGAGTTAGACAATTTGTTTATGAAAAGACTCATGGCGATAGAAACACTTACCCATGTCTATAACGTGAATATCCTTAAATCCTGACAAGGCAAGGTTTTTGAGAATTTCGCATCCTAAACCACCCGCGCCACTATATCAAATTCATCAGTGACTTGATCATGGTCGTAGACAACAATCTCTGACTGACATCACCCTGGTTTCAAGTTAGCAAGCTAATGTAATCATCACCTTGGCAATCACGTACAGAATCTTCGATGATTCCAGAGCACTTATCGTCTCTGGACCAGGAACCCAGTCTTCATCGCTGTAAGGACCTGGTTTCGACAAGACAGAGTAAAGGTGCTTCCTGCTTCACGTTAACCATGCTTGCCTTGGACAATCCAAAATTAATGCATACCATCGAGAAGTGGAACTTAGAGGTGCCATATTCAGAGCTAGAAGTCTGAACTTGGCAAATAACAGTCACTAGATGCTTGTTGTGATGTTGACCGTAACTGTCTTTGAACTGCTTCAAGACACTTTTTTTGACCGATATCAAGATATTTGAAGTCACAACCTGCAATACAGACTTGTCTCCTGTTCAAAATTGCAAGATGATATTAATAGCCAGTTATATCGCGATGAATGAAGGTAGGAAGCCAGGTGCGCTGTTGACTGCTCAGTAACTGGTCCCAGGACACACCGCTGCACGTGACTAATCCGCTCCATACAATTTCCTCCCACTTGAGGCATAACCATCAAGAGTCTTTCTAATTCTTCGAGAAACATTCAATCATCAAGAATGGAAGCTCTCACGACTGTGAATATAACGACGCGCGATTCCAGGTCGATTTTATCGCCTGCCGCGGAGGGAAATTCCCATGATGGTCTTCAGAACCGCCAAACTGGGTCAGCAGTCGAGCTAGACAATAATTCTACGTCGTTAGATTATATATCGGCCGTACTGAAGTCAAAACCTGATCAGGATACTATCGCTCATGTACTCTCCATACTTGATCCCTCGAACAGAAAGGCTCTTCCTCCAGATTTTGATATCAGGGTCCCCAGCGCAAAGGCCACTCAGATTCTCAATGTGTTAGTGAACCTCACGATTCCCGATCATTGGGAATATCTGAGGGAGAAAAAGGGCGAAGCTACTCAACTACGCGGCATGTTCTTGCGATGTTTCAGCAGTGTTGCTGGACTGAGTTGCTTGGTCACTCAGCTTCGTTCACTGATAACTGCAGCACGAGCAGCACATCAAAATGCGGAAGGATCGAGTAATGGTATTCGACTTGCAGAGATTCTGTCGGTCATCTCTGCCCTGCTGAAACCGACAGACTTTGCGTTGCGCCTTTACAATGACATCGATGCTCTTTACACTAATGAAACCCAGAAGCAGCTAGCTTGGAAGGAGCTTATTGCTCTTCTTGGTGCCAGCAAACTCCTACCTGCAGCAGCAGAAGCACTGAGCTTGATAAAAGACCTGGAAGGCCTCGCGAAGCTCTCTTGGCTTGGTGAAGGAACTCAATATGCTTCCTGGTTGGGGGCAAATATATGTCAAATTGTCTCGAGGATTAGTCCTAACAACGACTCGGGTCTGAAAGCAGTCGCTCTTCTAACGGCGCGGTCATTGAGTATTGGCTACACAGGTTAAGTTTCACGATACTTTGGCAGCTTGTTCATGCTAACTCAGTTTCAAGATCACTTTGTAAGAGAAATCTATTCGGGCCTTCTACTAGACAGAGCTCTTCCGACACATTTTGACTCTTTCTATGACAAACTTCGGCCAACTGAGCAACTCGCTTTTCTCGAGTCAGTATTCCGCGACCTGCAGAAGAAGTATTTCCCGGTCAGCATATCCTACCTGGACTTTGCGAATACGTCCGATCAGAATGTCGAAGGTGTTGCGGCCTTGTGCTCAATCATCATTTCCAAACGTCCACACCTGGTGAGTCAGCTATCAGACTGGCTTGCAAAAGGTCAAGCTGGCTCAATACATACCGTCGGTCTTCGTCGAGCGCTACTGGCCGCTTTGTCGGATAGAAAGGGTAACGTCTTCCGGGGTGCGCGGCCTCTGGGATTCAACTAATAGATGCTTTTTAGATATAATTCAAGCTCTGCTCTCCAAGAGCCTTGAACAATCTGGCGATAAGTTTTACATCAGACACGCCCCGATGAGCAGCCAAGAAGGTAGTCCAGAAACTCATTGTCTGAGTGTCAAAGCTTGCGCTAATATTTCTCAGCAAATGCTCAAGTTGTTCTCTTGGATGCTGGGTGTCTTCAACGACTGGATAGCCGTGCAGTCAAGGACGCAGGACGTTCTAGTATTTTCCTGAACACCGTCTCGAATCGTTTAGCAGCCTCAGCCTCCAAAGCCCGCCTTCTGGGTATGATCATTGGCACCGCAATTTCGCAACTCATTGATGAGCCGGGAAAAGCTATGAAATTTGACATTCTAGAAATGGAAAGCGACGAAGCAGTCTCGTATCTGGACTTGGTCAAAAAAGCAGACCGCGTTGGATCTTTAGACTATATCAAAATACCGAAAGAACAACCACCTAAGAAGCCTCGTCCGCCAGGTCAAGGACCACCTTCGCGAACTACGGGGGTGCGAGCCTCCAACGCACAGTCAGTCAAGGTTGTGTCTATAGAAGAGATCGGAGACTCGGAGAATGATGAGAGCGAAGAGGATGAGGATCTGATACCGTACGAGAAACCTGACGAGGATTCATCAGATTCCGACGATGACCCAACTCTTGTACAACGCAACAAACCGACACCGCCAGTGTAAGTTGACAGAACTCCATTGTGACGGATATAGACAACTGACTCGAGTAGATACATTCGCGACCTGATAGCTGGCTTACGGGATACGGAGAATCTCGAACGATATGAATTGGCCGTGACCACTGCTCCTTCTCTGATTCGACGCAAGACTGGCTTCGGAACTGAGCTGACTGAGAATGTGGAAGAGCTGGCTCTTGTCCTGGTCGGGCTGCAGGAGCAGACTAAACTCCCTAAATTTCACGAATGTCGGTTACAGAGTATGATTGCCTTGGTTGTATCGCAGCCGCTGAAAATGGGCCGCTGGTTTGCTGCGGTATTCTTCGATGGAGATCTGTCCCAGACCCAGCGGTCCGCAGTCCTCACGGCGTTGGGTCTAAGTGCTCGCCAATTAGCAGGAAACGGCGAGGAAGATGCTCGTACACTCGGATTGCCAACCTTGCCCGACACTTCCTTCCCAACCAGAAGGCTGCCGGCAAACGTGGAGGACTTATATCTAAACGATCAATCCCCCATCGCTAATCTTACAAAGACACTCTCAAAAGCTTCCCTTGAACCACTCGCGGCTCAAGCTGCGGACGCGGCGTCTGGTCCGAATGCACTCAAGGTGCGAACGTTTTCGTCCCGAATGGAGGTCGAAAAGAAACGCCAGCAGCGAGATGCGCAGCGACAAAAGTCGACGGTCAAGGACCTTCACAAAGTCTTGTCAGAGGGCTTCTTCTATCCTCTAACAGGTCGTTTTGCATTGATGATGACGCAATTTTCCTCGTAAGAGCTCAATCCTCCCCATAAATCAGACGGACGCCAGAGTTGACAAATTTCCTCTTATCACAGGTCCACCGCGCCCTCGTACAACCCTTTTCTGATTCCGCATCTCCTCTGTCTCTTCATCCAGACACTGACACTCATCCTCTCCACCATGGGGCCCCACAACCCGTACCTTCCTAATCTCACTCAGGAGACGTTGACTTTTCTCCTTTCACTCTACACACGACCGCTTTCGGATGACCCTTCGATCGTCTCCGCACTGCTCTCGCTGTTTCTCGCAGTACTGGACTTGAACGTCGCCGCAGGCTCCTCCGGCGAGGAACGACTTGTCACGGAATTTGCGACTCAAGTTATCGAGTTGCGCGAGTGGGCTGGGTCAGTCTTTGATCGAACTCCGGCGGCACAGGGAGTGGATGACCCTCGGGAACAGGCCAGACTATTGGCTGCAGGGGTGATGGTGAAATTGGATGAAGTAACGGAGAGATACCAAGGGCGGTTAATGGGTGTCAACACTGGATTTAAGTATTAGATCTAAATAGTCCATAATCTATACGTCTGAAAATGAAGAAAGTACTCACGCATTGAAGGGTAGTGGGACAATTGGACAAGTCAATATACATAGGCTATCGATGATCGTAACAGCATTTCGTAGTTTACGTGGACAGGATCGTTATTAAGTTAGTCCGTATACAGGACACTGGCCTCTCCGAATTTGCCAGTCCGATAACATGCCTCTCATCCCTCGGTCTTCGCAAAACTTCCCTTCTCGATAGCTGCCTCCATCATTCGGTCGCCGTTGATGATGCTGGTTGTGCAAATGACAATCCTCCGTCGCGGGGCCTCTTGAGCTGCGATGAATCGCAGTGCCGCAATCTCTGTGAAGGTCGCTCCACCGAGGAGGAATACGTACACAGTCTTGGTGGCATTGTTGCCGCTCAGCGTCTGTCGCGCACGAACTGCCTTATCGTCACCCTTCTGAACGATGCTGAAAGTCGCGCCACGGGCGCTCTTTACTACGTCCTCGAATCCGAGCCAGCCGGGGGATGCAGTGCTTGCAGGAGTGGAGGTAGCAGAGGCAGCACCGCCCTTGACGAGTGAGAATATGTACGGCTTTTGCAGAACGCATTGGACTAGACGAATGCTGAGCGGAGCGAAGCCGCTGTATACGTAGGCAATGTCGTTCGGGTCCTTCTCACTGACTTCTTCCACCAGCAGGCGTAGGTTCTTCCGTAGGTAGTTATAATTTGTCTTAGTTCCTGGCTGAGCACCAGCAGTAGGAATAAGCATGGCGGCGGCCGAGGAGCGCGGCTGCAGGAGCTCCATTTTCTCCAAAGCAGAGAAGGTCAATATGTGCTGATGTCCGTAGGCGTGGACAATTTGCTTCTTGAAATTCTCGAGATCTCGGGAACGAAGTCCGCCTGCCATGCACGACTCCAGGCACAGCAGACGGAGAACAGTCTTGAGAGGCACATCCCTCGCAATCAACTCTTTGATGGCATCATGTTGATATGTTGGGTCAGTGCCCGCGGCATGATTTTGCTGGACTTCAAGAACTTTGCGAAAGATATCGGAGCGCGTGTTTCTCATTATCTCTTGGGCGAGGTTCGTATGAACGCGAAGACTTTGGTGTTCCAATTGATATGTTGGCAGTTTATTCACGAATTCACGTAACTCTGAAGGCGTCTTGGCCGCATGACGAGTCTCATACTCGCTTTCTAAACGCCGGGCCACCTTATTCAGAATATCGCCGACTATGGCAAAGTTTGCATCCCGCACTTGGCTAAACAGTTGATCAGAAGAGTCAAGTTGAATCTTCCGCTTCTGTCCCTGCTTTAGGGTTTGTTGAGGAGCCTTGGAAGACTCCTGCGCCTGGGGAACAGAGTTGGCTCCAACGACAGCCGTATCAACATCTGCCTGGTTATTCTTGATCCCGACAAACTCATCAATTAAGCCCTCGTACGTGAGCTGTGTGAGCAGGGGAGTGCCAAAATCCACCTCCCGGTCAATAATGATCAGACTTTCGGTATTCGCGCTGGGCAGAAGTCCTCTTGCAGAAGGGTCCGCCAAACCGGAGCTCTCTTCAGCATCGAGTTCCTTTCTCATCCGCAACAGAAGGTCTGCGAGTCGACGCGCGTGATCTCCCTTCCCAATGATTCGAGGAAAATAACCCTGTCTTTGCTGAATATCCATGAGAGCCTTCGCGGCGAGGAAGATACAACCTGGATCTTTATGCTGCATGATGATAAGCAAATTGCTTGCAGTGAGACAGTTTCCTGGTTCTTACCAAGTAGAGGTCACCGAAGCAGTCGTCCAATTCCAGAGAAAGGACATCTTGCTCGAGAGGTACAAAATACAGGGGAAACTCGGCGATGTTCACATCGCCAATGATTCCTGCATCTTCCAGGACCTTATTGCTTACAAATGTTCGTCTTGGTACCCAAAATATGGAAAATTCATGCTCAACATTGCCGTTCTGCTGTAAACGCTTGATTTGCTCTATAGAGAAATGTCAGCTCATTCTGATGGCATTCGATCGGACATTTCAGAGAAAGAATGCCTTAGGGATGAGCTCCAGTAGTAGTCCTCTTGATGAGGACATGGATTGTTTTGATATAGGGAACTTGACTGACTACGTAGAGTGTGGATGATTCTGCGTAATCTACTGATGTCCCATGTGTCCTGTCCCCAAAAGGAGGCCAGACAGATAATGCAGGCAATGGTTTACAAGAAATAGAGCCGAGATGACATACCTGCTGCTGTTTGCACCTGGCGTATCTTCTCGGCATGGATTAGGAAGACGACATTGCGTTGGGATGAGTCAATGTTGGCATTCTCGAGGAGAAAGACCCGATCTACGCCGTACTCCTGGAGTTGGGAGAATTTGACGAAGATCCCAACTGGGCCTGCCAGGTTTTGGCTGATGACAAGATTCTTCTTACCACGCACCTGCCCGTGTAGTTCTGATTTAGCTCAAGCTCGGCTTCCGGTAACATCGATGCTGTTGAGAAGGGGACGACCAGGAAGGAGCCTCACTCACGCCTTCAAGGAGGGTCAACAAGTCCCTCCGCGCCTTGTCCTTGATATAGTCAGCATCAGACCCAGGATACGGCGCCATGGTTGCTGTGGAGCCTCCCAGACGTGGTGGTTTCTCAGCAAATTAGATAAGTTAATAGGCAGAGAGAACTGGAGTACAGTTGTAGCAGATTACTGCAGCGTCGAATTTGACTCAGCCATCCCAGCTAACCATGATTGGATTAGCGCCGATCACCGCCTCTCTGCGCCACAATACGTGTCTCATACACTGTTACCGAATAGTTTAGAGGAGCATACCCCAGCATATTTATGTATTACAGTATTTGTATTACAGCGTTGGGTCTCGACTCCTCCCCCTCAATTTAGATTATTTGCCTGAAACTCCCCTGAACGTGTCAACTACATTTAACATCTTCTCAGCCTTCACTCTCTACCCCTTCTTATTTAGACTGTTGTGAACACTCCCATTGTCTTTTTTGCTTTATCTGTCCTGTTTGGCATTTCCTCTGATACCCCTTTCATTCCTGCACCTCTCTGGCAATCCGCAATGGGCTTGTTCAAGAAGTCCGGCGACGACGATGACTCGTCCAACCGCCGGGCCCTCTTTGGTTCTCGGTCCAAGAGCAAGAGCCCAGCTCCTCCTGCGAACCCATATGCGAAGCCCGCACCAATTGACCCGTATACCAGAGCCAAGATGAACGCTGGAGTAGCTCCTCTTCCTCCCTCCGAACAGCCTGCTGGACCAGGCTCGATGAAAGGACGCTCTCCCATCGGCACCCCTGCACCTGGAGGCATCCCAGGCGATAACAAGATTCAGGGCTATGCTCCCAACCAGTATGGCCACCAAGGTGGATACGGTGCTGATCGATTCGGTAATGCTGGTGGCGCATCGACCTCCCGATACGGCCCTGGTGGATATGGAGGATTAGGCAGCACCGATCCGAATGACCCTGCTGCAGCAGACAAAGACGCACTTTTTGGAGGAGCCAGGGACCGGGTACAACAGCAGCAACAGAATGGTCCTCCACCCCCGTACTCAGAACCGAACAATGCTTATGGCGGTGGAAGCAATGAGTACAACTCTTCCACGTATCAGGAGAGACAGCTCACTGCGGAAGAAGAGGAAGAGGAGGAAATTCAGAACATCAAGCAGGAGATGCGATTCGTCAAGCAGGGCGATGTCGCATCCACTCGCAATGCTCTGCGCGTCGCCGCACAGGCTGAGGAAACCGGCCGTGAAACGCTCGCCCGCCTTGGCGCCCAAGGTGAAAGAATTCATGACACCGAGAAAGCGTTGGATGTTGCGACTATCGAGGGCCGACTTGCTGAAGAGAAAGCAAAGGAGCTGAAAACTCTCAATAAGAGCATGTTCGCGGTGCACGTGTCAAACCCATTCACTAGCTCCAGAAGACGACGGGAGCGGGACGAGAAGATCATTGAGACCCATCGTGCTGAACGGGCAACTCGGGAAGGCACACGCAATGAGGCATATCAGACCAACCAACGAATGGAGCGCACGTTCAGGGAGATTGAGAGGGAAGCGGGTAAACCACATGGCAAGAGCAGGGCGAATGTCACGGAGCGTGCCAAGTATCAATTCGAGGCGGACAGTGAGGATGAGGCTATGGAGGATGAGATCGAGCAGAATTTGGATCTTCTGTCCGGTGCTGCCAGTCGCCTGAATGGACTTGCTCGTGCCACAGGCCGCGAACTTGACGAGCAAAACAGACACTTAGAGCGGATCATGGGCAAGGTGAGTGTTCCTGTTTGCTTCTCTAATGCCTGGAGACTTACTGACATTGCTACAGAGCGATTTTGTCGACGATCAGATTGCTATGAACCGGGCCAAGCTGGACCGTATTCATTAAGGCTCTGCTCGTCTAATTCCATATTTAGTCGTGCGGATGTACCCGTAGGCCGCCTGGTGCAGTCGACGGTCGGTTGGTTATCACATCCCCATCTATATGTTTCGTGTGCATATCATTGTCTGCCATTTCTCGGAGTTCTCGGCTTTGTGGCTCGTTGGAGCATCCATTTTCGAGTGATCGAGCTAGCTGTATATTTGCGAGACCGATCACTCTGATCAATAGAACCCATCAATCTAATTACTACCACGAGGAACGATTTGCTAATTTTTCGTTGAAGCTGTCTGAATGACATCCTGTCCTGTCCACGTTGTATATAGAACAACCTACTGGTGCGAGTTTTGCAATGTTTGATTTGTCTTTCGAGGGGTGGTCCGCTGCATTGAATCGCTTCGCCCCAAGGATGAGATGTATTGCCTTTCTTTCCTTTTGCCGATACGCAGATCCCTACAGGACCTCGCACCAGATGAACATAGTATTCTATACCATGGGACATTGTTTTAGTGCACAGAATATCATCGACCCAGCGCATGTCAAAGTCTAGGACACAAGTTCCGTTGCCTTTTTCAATGGCTGATCACTATCTTTCATCCATCCACTCCTCTATAGCCAGCACCGGATCTGCAGGTCA